AAGAAGACATTGACGATAGTCATTGTGTTTGTGTAATCAAAGTTTTTGATTAGTGGATTAAGACCTCGTTTGAAAGAGGCGAAATCACCTTGGCGGGTGGACTGGAGTAGTTGAAGCTCAAAAGAACCAAGATAACCAAACGCGTCTTACTGTTTTAATTTTTGAAAACCCCAATTCAAACCTCTTTTCTTGTGTTTTTCTATCCTTCACTGGAGAATACTCTGAGTGCATTGACTGACGAAATAAACATCTTATATAACCTGACGAAGCTTAACAGAAGTGCCTTGATCCCATAACCATAGAACCAATGATTTGTATGCATGCATGTCATGATGAAATATAAGCCAAATAGTGTTGAAATGAAGTGGGTAAATTTTGAGGTATAACACAAGTCAATAAAAATTAAGTGCAAGTCTTGTTGGTTCATCTGATACTACTTTATCACATGTTGTACTAGATAGATCGCTTTCATGGATTACCTTCCAAACATAAAACCAAATTGATTATCTGTGACTTGAGTCTTCGTTCAATCACTCTTTTCCTTTAACTTCATGGTATGAATCATGTTTTTAATCCCTCTATAGTCTACACAATTTTGTATACCCCCTTGTTCTTATAGATTGAAACTAAAATGATTCTTTTTCGTTAATCCGAAATTTTCTTTGTCATCATAATTTCATTAAAGAGTTTGGTTAGCCAATCAATACCTCTCTCTGTAAGTGTTTGTTGGCATCAATTTTGGTAAAATAATGACTTGTTAATGTTTTTCTAAATGTCTTGACATTTGGAACAAAACTGTTTTGAATGATGTCAAAGCAGATGTCTTGACATCTGCCTACTGAATTGATCTCAACCCAAAATCAGTTAAGTCTTTTGTTTCCTGTTTTCATGCATGGTATAATTCAGGATTTGTGATCTACAGGCTGTGAAAAATATGGAGGAATATTTTTCAAATTGCATAATTTTATTTTTGCCTGTTTTTATGGAAATATTCAAAAGATTTGAATATTTGTTTTTAAGACCAAGTCCAAAGCTTCGCATATATAAGGACTTGCTTCCTTATTCAAAGTCAAGCAACTTTTGAAGAAGAATACTTTCTTTCTGATTAGAAGTCTAGGCTTTTTATTTGTAATACACTCTAAGTATTAGTTTAAATACTTGAGTTATTATTTGAGTTGTTAATTGTGTATCATTCATAAGCTTTTAAGCATTGAATGATTGAAGTGGTTCAAACTTATTATTTCTGTTAAGTTCTTCACTGTAAGTGATTGAAGGGATTTGAGGATGGCCTCATACCTAGGTGAGTCTTAGGTAAAAGTTTATCTTGGGTAATGATTAAGTGATTAGATCCTAAACTGGTTATTTACTGGGGATCTATGAATTGATACTATTTAGTGAACTTGTCTCTGGCTTGGTAGCCCTCAGAGTAGGTGTTGTTGTACACTGAACTGGGTGAACAATCTATTGTGTTTTTATTGCTTTTGATTTTACTGCACCTTACTTGTAAACAGATATTTGTGTCGTGACATCTCATTCGACATCACATATCGGATACCAAAATTTCACTCTCTACAAGAATTTTTCATACTTCAATTGATACATTGTCTGACCCAACTTCCTTACTGTTACTCATCCTTTTCAACACTTTATTTTCCTCTTGTTTTTGAATCTGACAATAAGAATTATATTTTCGGTCCTCTTCTCTAATGTCAAGCATGCTCGAGTCCGGTGGGATATCACATCCTTCATTAAATAAATTATGGAAATATGTGTTCCACTTATATCCTTTATATCTTTTTTGAAATTCTGATATTCATATCACATATGTCCTAAGAGATGTCAAGACACCAATCTCTAAATTTGAATACAATGACAAGGTAAACGATAAATACAGTGCAGGAAAGTAAAGAATATACAGAATTGTTAACCCGGTTTGGTGTACAATAATACCTACTCTGGAGGCTATCAAGTCAGAGATCAAGTCATCTAGATAATATCAATTTGTAGACCCACAACAAACTTTCACCTGGTTTACAATCTACTCACTTAATCACTATCTGTGCTTAACTTCTATCCAAAACTCACCTAGGTATGAGACGCTTCTCAAATCCCTTCCAATCACAGAATAGTTTCTGAACAATTCTAAACACTTAGAAAAGAAACAGAAGCCACACTTCAAAGACACACAATCATTCAGTGCTTAAAAGCTTTAGAATGACAAACATAACTTACAACTAAAAAAAAACAGTCATACTCTTTCATCAAGATGATAATCGAGAGACTCATAATAAACATACAAACCTAACAAAATACAATGTAAGTTCCAAACTTGTACTAGGTTGAAGCCTTCTTTTTATAACCTTCAATGGACTGGATTTGGGCTTCACACACGCAGTTGGATATGAAAGAGGCGCTGCAAAATTATCTCCTCAAAGATAGGACATCAATTATTAGTTTCCTAAATTATTTATATAATTAGAAACTAAAAATACTCATTGAATTCAGCTTGAATATTTTTAGTCTTCAAACTGTGTGCCACATAGTCCAGCTGTAGAGAATCACAATGTCGGAAGAAACTGTATAGGACATCACATTCGACATATTTCTCTAGTTGATAGAACATCTAATTTCAACATGTCTATGCTAAGTTAGTTTTACCAAACATAATGCCAATCAACACAAAATAGAGAATTAACATTTTTCCTGAACCAAAACTTTACCTTCTTCATCTTTAACACACTTCACTTGATCCAAATCTCATATTTTTTCCCTTCCCTTAGCTAATAATATATATATATATATATATATATATATATATATATATATATATATATATATATATATATATATATATATATATATATATATATATATATATATATATATATATATAGAGAGAGAGAGAGAGAGAGAGAGAGATTTTTCTCCCTCCTTAGTTCCTAAACATTGGTATAATTTGTCAAAAGTTTGGATTCTTGCTTCACACACCGCCTTCTTGGTCGAATTCTTAGCTTATACTTTTTCCAAGTTTCGGTATTTTTACACCTACATCATTCTTTAAAACAGTCATTTTTACTCTAACTTTACTCTTAACACTTTCATTCCACCACCACGATTCTTTATCCCTAGGTCTAAAACCTCTTGATTCTTCCAACATATCTTTATTCACTTTTCTAATCTCTTGGACGATCATATTTCACATATTATTTTCACTTTATTGTGGTTGTCTAAACCCTCCCTCCAAGATCTTGTTAAAACCATTTTCTTGTTTTTCTCTCTTCAAATGCCACCACTTTATTTATGACGCTCCCACGTGACTTCTTCTCTTGGAATAACTTTAGAGTCCAAACAAATCTTTCTATCTGACTTCCTAATAAGAAAGAAATTTATCTGAAAAAATGTTACCCCCATTTTTATATGTGATAAGATGTTCATCTCTTTTCCTAAATCAAGTATTTGCTATAGTAAGATCCAAAGCCGACCAAATAGTCTATAATTTAGGCATTTGACCTTATGTAGAAAAATGTCATTAATTATTTATGTTTCTTTGATTGTTGTTGTTTTTTCCCCTCGTTTTTACAGGTTGATTAGCGGGCTGTTTTCGCTAAAACTTTGTGGAGTTTATGGAAAAGTAAGAATAACTAGATTTGGAACCAAGTTATTGATACTCAAGACACCACCTATAGTCACGCTCCGTTTCTTACTAGTGGTTGGAAAAACGCCAATCAATCGAAGGTTATCAATACTTCTCAGTTTCTACCAATGTCTGATACTAAGTGGAGCAAACCACCGACAGGCCGCTTTAAATGTAACATAGATGTTTATTTCTCCAATAACAAGGTTGGTATAGGTTCCTGCATAAGAGACGATTCATGTGCATTTATTGTAGCCTGTACATAATGGTTCTCTCCAATTACAGAAATAGTGGTGGGGGAGGCTCTAGGTTTGATGGTAAAAATGGGTGTATAGTTTGGGTTATGATAATGTGGATTTTGAGATGAACGCAAAAAATGTAGTGGATTGTGTGCACAGTAACTATCAAAATTCTATTGATGTTGGTTATATTTCTCGAGAATGCAGTCGATTGTTAGCTCACTTATTTACGAACTCTCATGTTAAATTCGCTAGGAGACAAGCGAATGAAGTTACTCATGCCTTAGCAAGAGTGGCTCTGTTTTATGTTAGTTTTCATACTTTTTACCGATATTTCAACATGTATACAACTTCTCATTATTAAATAAATGAATTATGTTTTCTCTTGTAAAAAATCACATATTATCAAATAAAAATGTTTATATTTATAAATTTAAACATATTATCTCAAGCAATAACTAGCTTGAGATTATTTTAACTATGTTTATATTTATAAGTTTATTTATATAAAATTATTATTTCCTCATACATTTTATGAGTTGTTTGGTTTAAAATTTGTGTAAAATTATAACAAAAAATTGTTTAGCCATTGAATGCAAAAATTTGTAGGAAAAATTAGATCCGACAACAAAAATTTGTGGAGGCATGATAGGGAATATACAAGTAACTAGAATTTGAAGACAAACTAGAATACTAGCTTTTCCCTATTCATTTTCCAATGTTACTTACAAATTTGATTAACACCAGATAGAAAATTTATATTGCAAAACTTGATCTTCATTTGTAAATAGATATATATTTGATTTGTGTGTTTGGATTAGCGGTTGACAGAAATGAGTTTGATAGAATTGATTTTAATAGATTTGAGTTTGGCGGAATTGATTTACGTAAAAATTTCTAGTATAAAAATCACTTTTAAACTCAGAAGCTACAAATCAATAATTTCTAATAGAATCAATTTTAAAAGTAGAATCAATTTTGCTTTAAAAGAATCAAACACTTCAAAATCATTCCGCTTAGAATTGCCTTTAGCTCTTCCAAAAACCAAACCAAACATGCACTAAGTGGTTACTCTAAGAGCTGCATGGGATTGGAAGTCATAGTTATCATGTATAAAGTCTCATTCATCACCTTTCCTCAACAAGTGAGTGTGAATCAATTTCATGAGGATGAATCTGCAAACACTCATGATTAAAAGAAAAAATGAGAAACACATTTTTTAGAGAAAAAAACAAAGGCATTAATTTCCAATTCATCCAAATAAGCAACAGTTGCATTGTGGTTACCTGTTGACTTCTTTCATCAATAAAGCTAGTAAGTTTTGACCTTCAACTCCCCTCTGTTAGTGGTTAACTTCGTCTAATATTTCAGCACTATCTATGTCTGTTGATCCATCTTTAGGTGATTCAACCTCCTGGTACAAAGTAAAGAACCTCTTTAATATTTGAGATTTAATGCGTAAAACATAGTTGGGATGAAAAGAATAATCGAAAAATATTTGATTTGGTTTGCTTGCCGTTACAATCCCACACATTTCCATGTAGTCAGTACATTAGTAGTCGTTTTGTCGAGATCAGACAGTGCATAAAACATCATAAAATTAAGCTTAACATACCTTTAAAGGATAAACTGAGACTTAGTTTTGGAGCACCAGGAATTTCTTCATATTCAGCTGCATCTAGTTCCATAAGATGGTTTGGACTGAAGAACTTGGGGAGTATATGTTGTCTCAATATGATTAACAAAAAAAATGGCAAAGGGAACAACATTCCAAGCAATTGGAATCCATGTCACTCCAAAGCAAATTAAGAATACAAACATTGGATGAGTGTAAACAAGACTATGTTTTTGAAAGGTACCGACTCAACAAAGGAAGCATGATCACCTTCCAATAATCTGCAATGATAGTTTGGATTTAGAAAACATAATTCAATGACAATCAACAGGGAAAATTGTCAGTGTCGATCTGTCAATGTCGTGTATGTATAGGTAATTCATGATTATGTTAAAATGGCGAAATCGAAGTAGCTTCACTTACTTGTACCACCTACTAGGTCTTACAAAAGAAGGAGTATTCTTTCCCAGAATTGATTCCCTGGAAGACTATCAATAGCCATGTAAGCAAAGTATCCCCACAAAACTGAAGTTGGTATCAAATTTATGGCAGGTATAGCAAACACTGCTGCTCCTACAAAGAGTGACTGTAAAAGGTTGCTCACTCTTTGCTCCTTTACTCTTACAGGCAAATATGTATCAATGTGTTTCTCAGGATCAAAAGTGCTCTTATTGTTCTCTCCTTTATCTTCGCCATTTAGGACAAACTCTTTCAAGTCCTCTAGTTCTTTTTACCACTGACTGTTTCTGCAAACAACCAAGTTCAGGAACAATTAGTAATTTAATTGTTATTTGTGTTGTGTTTGATGTCTGTGTCAGCAGGTTCGGAGCCAAAGTTTTATAATATGATGAACTAATAATAACAAAAATATAAACCAATTGTCAACTAGTTTTATTGGCAAAAGTAAGATGATAAAAGGGCTTATGCTTACATTAGGATTATTATCCATTTCGATAAACACTGCTTGCATCTTCCCATATATTTCAGAGTTGCTAGCTTCCTGCCTTATGCTTTCCTTGGCACTTTTAACCATCTTTCTTCTGATCAACTACCATTCAAAGATCAACAAATCACCATATTTAGCATAAAATTTTAATCTTGATACTTACTCTACAAATTTCAATACTCATTTACTCACCTGTTTCTTGAGAAACAGACAGACTCTTAGTGTGCATAGGGGATTGAGGCAGAACTCCATTTGAAGGAGGCAAGCCGATTAGTCCACAAAGCAAAGTCTGAAATTTTGATTCAAAGAAAAACCTTAGTTCTGTTTGAACGATTAATATGAGTAACGGTTTTTATTCTTATTTGGAACCGAACTCGGTAACCTATGCTTTACAATACTATAGACCCTGACATAACGGAATGACAATAAACAACTATGTACAATATATACCATGAATCCTAGCAACAATATGTCATAGTGATATGCAGAAGGTTTCCTGAGATTGAATTCCTTTTGTTGTGCCAATTGGGATGCAACACTATGGTCAAAGAAGTAAAGCCCTGCTATCATTATGGCAGGAATAAAAGCTTGAAAAATGTGTGTTGGAGAAACCTTGCCCATATCCTGCAGTAGAAATTATGTCATTAACATCCAAAACTACTAAATCAAGAAATGGTGTAATTGACTTCATGCAAGATGGTTTTACTTTGATTACTGTCCAGTGATGTAACGACGCAGATTCCCAAGCCAAAGGTGCAACGAGTCTTCTTGGAACACCAGAAGGTACTTTACTCGATACTACTACGAATGATAAAGCTGTCCACACCACTACCATGAAAGGAACTCCATAGTCTGCAATGAAACCCCTTAACGTTTCTGCTCAATAAACAAACAAAGTCAGATTCTAAACTCGAACAAACCTGCTCTGATACTATTTACTCGACAAACCTGTTCCGTATAACCACGACCTTGCTCTTCTGCTTTTTAAAGAAGTATAGAGAAGGCCAAAAGTGAATATAACACCAAGCAATCCATTTGCATACAACCAATGAAATTGAAAATTGTCCAATTTTGGATTCCCTTCTTTAGGAACTTGAAACTCAGTTACCATTCCCTAAAACAATAAAATACAATAATAACTTGCATCAAAGTCTTTCTCCCATGTGTTATGCCAAATTCAATTTTCATTTGATAATTGATATCTAACTAACCTTGATAGCCTCTTGAATGAATAAGACTGTAATCAACATGCCATAAAACCTCACCAGCAATCCCTTGTAAATCTATTGATGATATTGCCAGCATTGAATATTGCTAAAAGAAACAGCAGTAGAGCACTCCATACACAAACCCTGAAATATTATTGAACATCCATCAGTCAATGTTACACCACGAATTGACATATTTGAACTTATCTACTAGTAGTATAAGCACACACGAGAGCTTGTAAAAAACAACATAAAACTAATCAGTATACTTTGACTTTCTTATATTTGTTATAGGAATAACTCTTTTACTTAAGCCAAACAGGAGAGCATGTTTTTCTCACCATCCTACCCAAGCCAAATAGAGTTCTCGTCCCAAGCCCTCCGTATTTTTGGCATAATTGTACAAATATGTATACATAAGAATAGTGGGTTCTGCAACTCCTAGAACTAGTAGAGGTTGTCCACCAAAAATGGAGTGTATGATTCCACAAATTGCTGTAGAAGCCAATGTCTCTACAACACTCAAGCTTCCATCTACATACATACAAACAACAAATTGTTAAATCCTATTACCAAAAAAAATGTGCATAGGGCGAGAACACAACACAAGAGCATTATCAGCGTTATTCTTCGCTGTATAATACAATCGTACATAATGATCAAGAAAGAATCAAGACGACAATGAACCAACCTGTGTCTCTACTGAGCTGCGCGCCGAAAGCAATAACAGGTAGAGCAGAAGCAAAGAAAAATATATGTAGTTGGTGCCAATATCCTGTCATATCATATTATCATATTAGATAATAATCATTACAAAGATAAACAAATGTACTCGTAACACCTAGTTCTAAACTGCAGTCTGCAACTGTAATTGCATACTGCATCCAAATAGTAGACCCTAAATTTGAAGCGGCATTTTATCAGTAATTTAAAACACAATCACATGCATGTAAAGAATCTAACCCATTTCCTGAAGTGAAAACCAGAAAGCCAATCATCTTTGTAGTGCAATGCTCTTCCCTTACAATCATTCACAATCCCTCTGAAAGGTTTTCTCAAGCTCTCCATATCTGTATTCATCCATAGAAACAGTCATCATCACAAAAAATTCTAGTGTACTAGTTTCACACGTTCAAAACACAATAACACAAATACTACAAAATCTATGTCTTTAACATGCAATTCAATGCAATGATATGAAAAAAAACAAACTATAGTTTTCTATACCAAAACTTCATAGAACAATGAAGCCGTGAAAAATATCAGTTTAACAGTAGGTAGCACGAACCTAGCGGAGATATTGTTGTGGCCGTAGCCTAAAGAACGTTACAGCATGTATTTGAAGAGAATTAGGTAAATGAATTAACGTGTATTTTTATACTAACAAGTCTATATCAAATATATTTTTGTAATATTAGTTTATAATAATTTATTTCTATATTATTTTCAAATTAGATA